TGTGTGTGTGTGTGTGTGTGTGTGTGTGTGTGTGTGTGTGTGTGTGTTTGTGTGAGGATCGCTGGGATCATCAGGAGGAAATGGAGGATATGAACGAAGAATAAACCCAAACAGAGTCCAGATGATCAGAATCTCTGGAGGATTCGGAGCCGAACACTAAATCAAAGCCACGTCCGGTTTTTACCTTCAGGCCATCCGCCGGACACGGAGGCTGCTGATTGGCCGACGAGTCCCCCGGCGTCGTGAAGGGCTCGTGTGATTGGCTGGAGTAGAAGAGGCGGGCCTGGATGCAGCGCAGGGCGCGGAGCATCCAGCCGTGTTGGCGCCGAATCTGGCGCTGGAGCTGATCCCATTGGCTGGAAACCATCTGGAGGATTTCCTTCAGACCTGCAGGGCGAGAGACACCGGGACGAACAGGAAGGAGAGAGAGCGAGCAGAAACAGGGATTTAAAACAGCTACAGCGAGAAAAATGAAGTGATCAAGTTCAACTAGTGTCAGACGAGCTTCTAGAAGGTCACGACATTTCTAACGTAGCGGCGGTAAAAGTTCTACGTTTGTCTGAACTGATGCTCTTCAGAAGGTTCGTTTCTGACTTAAACTGAAAGCAGTGAACGGAAGTGAAAGTAAACCATGAAGAAGAAACGGAGAGCAGAAAGAACAGCCAACAACTAAAACCAAGCAGGAGCTGAAGACAGTGAGTGGACCAGGATGGAACAGCGAGTGGAAACGCCTGGGCCCGTTTGTCTCTGGGTCCAGTTCTCTGACAGCTTCTAACTCTCTCTTCTCTGTCTGCTGCTGCTCAGATTGAATAAAACAGAAAACTGCTCTGAATGTTTCTGCCAGTCTTTGGTGGCCGCCGGCGTTTCCCTCTGCACTTCCATCTCTTCATCTCAGTCTTTGTCTGACTCTCTTCTGGCTACGTTCGTACGAGTCCTCCTCTGTGAAGGTCACTCTGCTAATCCACATATTAATAATGAATGCAGACGGTCGGCTCCATTATGGCTCCGCCGCGTTTCAGTTGCTGTCGGAGGAGGTGAAGGTACCTGATTGGTTGGAGGTGATGACAGCGAGCAGCGCCTTCCCGTCCTCCATGATGTTCTCCTTCAGGCGGCTGTGACTGTCCACGCTCAGCTTGAAGCTCTAAACACAGAAACAGGAAGATCAGCATAACTTTTAACTCCTTCGTATTTCCAGGTCCGAAGGTCCAGAGACACAAACTGATGGAACCAAACATCAGATGATCAGTTGGACCTCCTGCTTCGGTCCGACCTGCTGCTGTGGAGGACGAACCGGAACATCTGAGAGGTCATGTTTCACCTCCACACAAACTGACTTACATCACCTGGATAAACGATCATCTCAGCGTCAAGTGAACGTTGCCGAATACGACAGATGTTCTGATCAGATCTCAAAGATCAATATCGGAGCCAATCCAGGTGCTTCTAGCTGATCGGTATCGATTTTAAACTCAGTTCTTTGTTTGTTTTCCCTCTCTCAGCTGTTTTAAAGGCACAGCGTGTGATTTTAATATTTATTGAAATAATCTGCAGCATCATAGATCAATAATTTATGAATCAATAACACAGACTGATCAGTTTTCATTCATCCTGTTTCTGTCCACAGACTCCTGGTTTGTTCCTCAGTCGGTTCTGGTCCATGTTTCACTGATTCAGGAACTCTGTTGATCTCACTTTGTCTTAAACCCATCAGCTCTGGTTGGAGGTCCTGAACCTCCTCAGAGTCTCTGTCATGGTCCTGTTGCTGCTGAACTCCCACAATGCTCTCTGCTGCCACCATGACTAGTCTGTAGACGACTCCTCTGGTCTCTACTGGACTAAAGCTCTAATTCTGCTCAGCTGAAGGTCCTCTGAGTCTCTGACTGGTGTTCAAAAGCTCAGCGCTGATCAGTGTTCAGTC